CGGGAATGATTATGCCTCCCGAACTAGTAACATTTCAGAGATTGTTCCTGGGTCTGCACGTTACTGAGTTCTCAATTACTTGGTATCCATTTCAACAGAAAGGCAAAGATTTTTCTTTTCTCCATCTGTATCTCTAAAAGTAAGTTACTCTGCTCATTCACCTTCTGTATTTTCTGCCTAGCTTGTTCCCCAGAGACCAGTGGGAAAGAGTGTGGCAGTGTCTATCATTGCCAGAATGGAAGCACCTGTGATGCCCTGACTGGGCAGTGCCAATGTCCCTCAAGAATTCATGGAGCAACTCGTGGAGATGGTATGAACATCTAGTGCTATTCGTACAAGATAATTCACAGTTTTTGATATTTCTAATGGGAAATAAACCAAGTGAAAACTGCATCATATTTTTCAAGGTGGTCTTTTCTGAAGAAGTAAAAGGCTGTTTGTCTGTACAATAGTGCAGTTGCTTTGACTGAGGACATGTATAATGGAACAAATAAGTAATACTTAAAGGTCCAGGGTGAATTCTGACACAGAGAATATCTTTTTCTTCTGCTGAACAAAAGTTGAGTTTGTTTTTGCAGATTTGAACATAGGAGCTGAGGAGAATTTATTTGCTCTGCATAGTAAAAGGAAGAAAGACTGGAGCCCCTTGGGCAAGCCAGGAAGAGAAAGAAGTAGAACTCAGAGAAGGAAAAGAGGAAGTGGAGAGAGGAAGGGGAAGAGAGATGATGGATGAAAAACTCCCAAAATAACCTGTGAGGGGGGTGCACATATTTTTCATGGAAACAAATGAAGAAGCCATGTTTCCCATATGGGTTGATAAAGCACAAAAAAAAAAGAAGTAGCTTGTACGGACACAAGAGATGAAGGCAGGGAGTCAATGAAGATGTAGCTCCCCAAGAATTTGCAGGAATCATGGGGAGTTTATTAGAATCTCACAGATTACAGAATGGGGAGATTTAAACCAATTTTACTTAGGTCCCTGAGGTGCAAGAAACCCCTCTGCCATTCCAGTTTCTTATCCCTGTGAGCAATGGGAATAAATTTGTTTATTCACAAAATATATATTAAATTTTCAAGGCCCTGTGTCAGGCATTATAATATGATAACACCAAAAAAAGGAGGAGAGATGACGCTGGTCCCTCTTTGTAGTACTTACTGTCTTATTCAAGATGCAGATTACAAAGTTTAATAGGTTTTACAAAATAAATATTACAGAGTGATTGGCAATAGATGGTGAACCATGGTGAATAGATGCAGAAGGTGTGGAATACTTTTGGAGCAGAAGCCTGCAAAAGGAATAGACATGAAACAGGAGAAGAATGAGGGAATCAGACTAAGGGCTATACTCTGAAGTAGGAAAGATTATGATGCATTGGAAGGAACTGCAAGAAGGTCAGCATGGAGGAGCAAGTCAGTCAGTGATATAATGGTGTAACAAGAACTCAGCTAGTGTGAGAGCTTGAAGGTTTTGTTAAATTTAAGGTCTTTAACCTAACAGCAAAAAAGAGCCCTAATGGCATATAGTTAAGAGCTCAGCTAATTTAACAGAATTGAAAAGACAAATAGATGACTCCACAGTCATAATAGGAGAGTTTAATACACCACTTTCAATCACAGATAGAACAAATGGAAAGAAACTCAACAAAGACACAGAAAAACTAAACAATACAATCAACCAAAGATCTTATAGACATCTACAGAGCAGTTCACCCAACAACAGCACAATATGCATTCTTTTCCAGTGTATATGGAACATTCTCCAGAGTATACCATATGTTAGGCCACAAAGAAAGCCTCAATAAATTTTAAAACATTGAAATACTGCAAAACATCTTCTCAGATCACAATGCTATAACACTAGCAATCAACAAAGGAAGACCAACAGAAAAAGAACAAACACATGGAAACTGAATAACACCCTCCTCAAAAATGATTGGGTACTAGAAGATATAAAAAATGAAATTAAAAAATGCCTTGAATCAAGTAAGAATGAAAAAACAACACACCAAAATCTATGGGACACAGCAAAAACAGTGATCAGAGGGCAATTTATAGCAATAAATGCATACATCAAAAAAGAACAAAGAGCCAAAATCAAAAGCTTAACCCAACATCTCCAACATATAGAAAAAGAGCAGCAAAAAAAGGCTACTGTCACCGGAATAAAAGAAATAATAAAGATTGGACAGAAATAACTGAAAAGGAAAATAGAAAGATAATAGAAAAAATCAACAAGACTAGAAGTTGGTTTCTTGAAAATATTAATAAAATTAACAAACCACTGGCAAACTTAACAAGGGAAAAGAGGGAGAGAATACAAATAACATGAATAAAAATGAATTGGGTGATGTCACAACAGAACCAACTGCAATAAAAAGGACAATACTAGGGTACTGTGAAGAACTATGTTGTTGTTGTTGTTATATGCCGTCAAGTCAGACCCAACTCATAGCAACCCCTCCTTGGGTTTCTGAGGCAATATCACTATGGAAGTAGATTGCCCCATCTTCCTTCTGAGGAGTGGCTGGTGGGCTTGAACCTCCAGCCTTCTGGTTAGCAGTCAAGTGCCTTAGGCACTATGCTACCAGAGCTCCTCCAACAAATTTGAAAATCTAGAAGAAATGAGCAGATTTCTAGAAACATACTACTTACCTAAACTAACACAGATTGAGGTGGAAAATTTGAACAGACCCATAACAAAAGAAGAAATTGAATAGGTCAGAACAAAATACCAAAACCAAGCAAAGACATCACTAAAAAGGAAAACTACAGCAACAGGCCAATATCCTTCATGAATATAGATGCAAAAGTCATCAACAAAATCCTCGGCAACAGACTCCCACAACATATCAAAAAAATAATACATTATGACTAAGTGGAGTTCATACCAGGTATGCAAGAATGGTTCAACATTAGAAAAACAATCAATGTAACCCATCACATAAGTAAAATAAAGAAAAAGAACCCTGTGATCATATCAATTGATGCAGAAAAGGCATTTAATGAAATCCAACACCCATTTCTGATTTTATAAAAACAATCAGAAAAATAAGAACAGAGGGAAATTCCTCAACATAATAAATGGCATATATACAAAACCAACTGCAGCTCTGGTGGTATAGTGCCTAAGCATTTGACTGATAACCAGAAGGCTGGTGGTTCAAACCCACCAGCCATTCCTCAGAGGAAGGTTGAGCAATCTACTTCCATAGTGATACTGTCTCAGAAATCCAAGGAGGGGTCTCTATCAGTTGAATCTGACTCGACGGCAGTGAATTTGGTTTTGCTTTGCTACACAAAACCAACAGCCAACATTATTCTCAATGGAGAGAGACTGAAACCATTCCCCTTATGAACGAGAACCAGAGAAGGATGCCCTCTATCACCACTTCTATTCAACATTGTACTGGAAGTCCTAGCCAGAGCAATAAGGCAAGAAAGGCAAATCAAAGGCACCCAATTTGGTAAGGAAGAAGTAAAACTATTTCTATTTGCTGATGATATGACCCTGTACATAGAAAACCCAAAAAACTCAGCAAGAAAACTACTGAAACTAATTGAAAGATTTAGCATAGTGGCAAGATACAAGATCAACATCCAAAAATCAGTTGGATTCCTCTACACCAGCAAAGAGATTGCTGAAAAGGCAATAAAGAAAAAATACCATTTACAATAAACCAAACCAAACTTACTGCTGTTGAGTTGGACCTGACTCATAGCGACACCTCCTTGGGTTTCTGAGGCAGTGTCACTACGGAAGTAGATTGCCCAACCTTCCTTCCGAGAAGTGGCTGGGGGTTTGAACCACCAGCCACAATAGCTACCAAAAAATGTGAAAATGCCAGTACTACCCGAAGCAATCTATACATTCAATACAATCCCAATCCAGATCTCATCAACATTCTTTGAGGATATGGAAAACCCAATCACTAATTTTATGTGGAAAGGAATGAAACCTCAGATAAGCAAAGCACTATTGAAGAAAAACAAAATAGGAGGTTTCACACTGCCAGATCTCAAACCTACTGTACAGCCACAGTAGTCAAAACTGCTTGGTATTAGTACAATGACAGACACATAGACCAGTGTAACAGAATTGAAAACCCAGAAATAGAACTATTGACCTATGGTCAGCTGATCTTTGACAAAGGGCCAAAATCTATTAAATGGGAAAGAGATAGTCTCTTTCACAAATGGTGCTCACAAAACTGGATATTCATTTGCAGAAAAATGAAGCAAGATCTGTACTTCACACCATGCACAAAAACTAACTCCAGATGGATCAAAGACTTAAATGTGAAACCTAAAACTATAAAGTTCCTCAAGGAAAAAATAGGGACAATTTAGGGGTCCTAATTTATGGCATAATTACACTATCAAGTGTAACCCAAAATGCACAAACAGCAGAAAATAAACTAGATGATTGGAACCTTCTAAAAATTAAATTTTTATGTGCCTCAAAAGAATTCTCCAAAAGCATGAAAAGAGAATCTACAGAATGGGAAAAAATATTCAGCAACAACATACTTGACAAGGGACTTAATTCTAAAATTTATAGAAAACTCTAATACCTTAACAACAAAAAGATAAATAATCCAATTTAAAAATGGGCAGAAGACATGAATAGGCACTTCACCAAAGAAGATATTCAAGTGGCCAACAAACACAAGAAGAAATGTTCATGATCCTTACCCATTAGAGAGATGCAAATCAAACCAACAATGAGATAATATCTCATCCCAGCAGTAAAATGAAAAATAGTAAATGCTGGTGAGGATGTAGACAGCTTGGGACTCTCATACACTGCTGGTGGAAACGTAAAATGATACAACCACTTTGGAAAGCAGTATGGTGTTTCGTTATAAAGTTGGAATTAGAGATCCCATTTGATCTAGCAATTCCATTATTAGGTATATATTCTAAAGAAGTGAGAGCCAGGACAAGAACAGATATATGCACACCCATGTTCATTGCAGCACTTATTCACAATAGCAAAGAGATGGCAACAGTCTAACTGCCCATGAACAGAAGAATGGATAACCAATCTATGGTACATACACACAATGAAATATTATGCAACACTGAAGAATAATGTAGACTCTACGAGACAGTGGATAACATGGATGAACTTGGAGGATATTATGCTGAGTTGGAGGATATTATGCTGAGTGGAAGAAGTCAGTCACGGAAGGACAAATATTGTATTAGTTCATTATTTTAAAAATCAAGGAGAGGTTTATATATGGAAGGAAACATTCTTTGTTGGTTACCAGGTATGAGAGGGGAGGGGAGAGAACACTGCTAGATAGGTAGAGACAAGTATTGATTTGGTTGATGGGAAGGGCAATGTGCCAAATGTGAGTGATTGACACAGTAGCATTGAGGAAAAGGAAGACATAGAGAGGTGCAAGGTAGGTACAGATAACAAAGATGGACTTTTTGCATGTACAGGACTGCATTGCCAATGATGGCAAACATGGGTTGATAGATCAGTGGACAGGCTAAGTGATCACATATGTCTAGGCAGGGGATAGTGTGCCCATGACCATGTATAAAGGTGACAGATGATGAGTATTTGTGTGTGCTTTAAGAATGTCCAGGTGTCATGAATAGACACTTCACCAAGGAGGATATTCAAGCGGCCAACAAACATATGAAGAAATGCTCACGATCATTAGCTATTAGAGAGATGCAA